GAAGAGAGAGATTCCGGCACCCAGTTTAAGGGCGACGAGTTGGAAACAGAGAAAGCGGAGATAAAGGTCAGTGCTTTGCTCATGATTGCTTGCTTTGCTTTGAGATTTAGGTCAGTTCACTAACTGTGTTTGCTCATGATTGCTTTGCTTTGCTCCTGAATGACGGCTGATTCTAATGCCCCATAGGAAAGTCGTAAAGAATTTATCCGATTTACACTCCCACCCTTGTTGAGGCCATCAACACTCTTCGAAGCAACATCTGCACAGAGATGGGAAAGCGGGCTCTTGAATGGTGGAAGGAGAGGGTGTTGCGAATGGCAAACCAGTTAACCCCCGTCCACTTCCCACTCTTGAAGCAATCAAGAAGATAATGCTCCGTGATTTGACTGTTGACATTCCTGATGGGGATCCACAAACAGACAAGGAGGTTTACAACCTGGAGCTTTTGGAGCTGTATCTCAACCAGTTGCTTCCTATTGTGGCTGGCGCTTAAGTACAAAGCAGACTATTTGAATTGAATTCAGATATATTTAGTCATGATTCTCAGCTTTGCCCTTTGTTTTTTAACCTCAAAGCCATGTTTACGGTGAGAAGCATCGCCGGACCGTATGCCCCACTACTCATGAAGTTGATGGAGTTCATCAGATTCCAGCTGGCACGGAAGCATTTGTGTACGTGGTCTTTGAAAATTGCCACAAGAGGTGGACTGAACTATACAAGTGGGCGCTATGAAGAAGGGGGCCAAGGAAGCTAACCCTACATACAGCAGCAAGGAACCCAGTACTTTTCGCTTCAAGGGAAAATACTCTGATAATTGTTCTGGCCAGAAAGAGTTTGGTGGGTGGGTTGCTGAAGGCATTGACATGTTTGAGGAGGTCAAGGAAGAGGTCAAGATCAACCGAGAGACGAATCTTGACAAGTTGGTTGAAATTGATACCAAGTTTGTTGAAATGCTGCAGGTAAGTGCAACAGTCTGTGCGCCATACCTGAAATTATTGCACTCATCTATATACCTGTACCTTTGCCTCACTATTCAGAAACGCCATGACGAGGCTATGGCGAAAAAACATGACCAAGCTTCGGCAACCTATACAACTGAAATTAGACTCCCAAAGCGAAAGCGCGAGGCAAAGGAGGCAACGAAAGCACAAAAAGAGGAAGAGAGACCAGCACCCTTGATGATTAACCAGGGGGCTCCACTGAATATTTTGGCCTGATACTTCCTGATTTTGACCTTTGGTTACAGATCCATCCCCTTGTTGCTGTTTTTTCGGTTGCAGGGTGCTAGCTGGTTATTTTTGCACCCCACCACTTTCCGAAACTGTACATCTTGACCTTTTGGTTGGGACCTTGCCTATTAGTGGTGCTGTTTGTGGTTGCACGTGGAATGCAATCTGTACAAGGCCCCGTATTTTAAGCATGTGTTGTCATGATATGTTATTTTCCATGACCCGTTCCCACTACGTTTTAAATCCTAATTCTCTCCTAGTATGTTATTATTTCAACTCTATTTTTCTTCTAATTCTGTAGTCTAAGGTTCTTACCATTCTGTATTGCGCACGGCCTGATCTACAACAGAATGGTCCTGATCACGAGGAAGGTCAGCCACTTAGCAATTTGTCTGGCAGTTGGCTTTCTGCCGAAATTACACAGTGCACATGACAAACACCTTCTGAATTGAAGAACGTAGGCAGAAAGCTGGCTGCCTGACAAGTTGCTAAGTGGCTTGCTTTCGTCCTGATTCTAGATTTCTGTTCTCTGTGCTGGAATCCAAGCTTCACCTTCTGAATGGGGGAAAAGGTCCATATTGCTACCTTGGACATAATCCTTTGTAAGACGAGACCATGTCTATGTCAAATTTTGACCTACTACTGTTTGCCCCTTATCTTGACCAAAGGTCATTCGAGGCTTCTTAGACGCTGTTCCAAATCTTGTGTTTGGGGACCCCAAAATAGTATCTCGAAGGACCCAGGAGGACCCAACCTTGTCGTAGATTCGGACACGGTCCTGCAACAGATCCGACACAGCCAATGACCCCCTGGACAGATCTACTGCATAACCAGAGAAGGAGCCGGCGTCTCCATTGAAGTGATTGCTTTGCCACGTGTCATTTGGTTGCTCGCAGTGGAAGTACCCAGTGCTGACATATCCATCTTTTTCAGCTCCACAGGCATACTGAGATGTGCTGACACAAGTCGATTCGCAGCAATCACCACCATCCATTTTGAACTCAGGTGTGTTGAAAAAGGGGTCACAGTGACCGTTGGGAACTGAAACAAGGTGTGAGTTTACAGAGGTTTAGAGCAGTTGGCTGAAGCACATGATTCATATAAACAGGCCCATGAACATACCCGGTGGGATTTCACAGAGGCTTCCAAAACTGTCAAGGGAACACACACAGGCTCCATCACTGCACTTTCCATCATAAAGACATGGGTTTGAGGATTCGTCACAGGCACGACATAGAAATTCAGTAGAAATCCCATTCCCAAATCCCTGATTCTGGTTATCAGTGATGGCTTCTTCAGCAAAGAACCAAGAAAAGCCAACTGGGGAGCTAGAGCTCAAATGTGTCCCCATTTCCATGTAGTCACTGAGGAAAGCAACAGAAAGGTTGGTAGAAAAGCCCTTATATCCATGGAAGGCATGCTTGAAGTAGTTTCCAATATCAGAACCAACATCATCGTGTCCATCAGATAGAGCATTGGAAGGGATCCTTCCAGCAAGAGGCAAGAAAACAGAAGAAGTCAAAGCCCAACGCCCACCAGTGAACATGACAACATCATATTCGCCATCACTGTATTCATGGATGTAGACTGGTCGGTGGTAAGCTTCCACCAGTGAGCCCTTGCCCAATTCAATGGACTGGTAACTGCTTGCCCAATCCCTGGTACTGGCAAACTTATCAGTCCTAGCATCAAGGTTGATCCAAGGGCAGGGGCGGACAAATTCACACCGGAGCCCATACCATCCATCCTCACAGTCACAGACAGCATTGCTGCAGGTTCCTTTGCCGCCACAGTCATCACTTCCTTCCGCATCCTCATTGGAGCAGTCAAAGCAAAATAGGCTGAATGGTTCCAGCACCACTTCGCGGTTCGTTTCATCTCGGACAAACCATGCACTCCCAACTGCCTCTGTGATATCATAGCCGTCTGTTTCAGAAGATCTGGCAATCCAGTCACACGGATCTCCCTTGCCACTCTTGTCCTTGGAATCAATCCGAAATGTCCAAGCTTTAATGTCCTCACAGTAATCAAAGATGCCTCTCCCTGGAGTGCCAATCTCCACAGAGCGTCTCTCCACATACACAGCTCTCCACTCCAACCCTGAGTTTGCCGACGAATCCAAGTCGTACATGCCATTGAAAGCTCCCAGAGAGGGGACAAAGTCATCTCCCATATTCACAATGATGGTGTTGCACATGTACTTGCCTGCCATCCGATAGGCTACGATGGTAATCCAAGCAGCAAATAAACCAGAAAGAATGAGGAAGAACACCCCAGCCTTCCAGGAGCGCTGTAGAAATCCTTGATCAGATGCTGCCCTCTTTCGAACACGAAAGCTTGCTACCTCATTGGCCGCCATTTGGAGGCGGTTCCCAACGAATCCTGACTTTGCAAGGGAAAATGCTGCGTCATCAATGTATGCCATGAATTCCAATGCAGCAAAGTTGAGCATGATATCCAAGACACTGTCGACTTGCATGATCAAGATGAAGACTGTCAATAGTAAAAGCAGGCCAGTAATGAGCTGAGCAATGCCAGATAGGAGCCAAGAGGCATATGTTGCTCGTGGGTTTATTGTAAGAATTTCTGGCAGAAAGCCATCTTTAAACCTGTACCAAGAAATAGTTTTGGAGTATGAGCAACTGATTGAGTGGGCGAGATAGCATGGAGAGAGAGAGTAAGATCGAATGAACAATTTTAGACAACTCACCTTGCAGCAACTTCCAGGATTTCAGACTGGAAGGCCATTGCGGGGAAAAGGGCCAGCCCCTGGGCAATGGTAACGCTCAAGCTGACATTAGGGGGCAGATGGATGCCATCCGTGTCAACCACGTCAATCAGTGTCAGCAAAATGGTTGTGATCTGTTCTGGCAAAGTACCACACACAATGAAAATGTGAGTGAGAAATTGGTGAATTGATGATTGACGGAATTTGAGGAGCAGCAGGCAACTTATTGCTCGAGGGACTCACCTGAAGGACATGGACAAATGCGGCATACCAGAATGCCACACTATCAACACTGTATAAATAGAGGAGAGAATAGGTGCTTTCCCCGTAGGAGGGCTTGTACCACTCTGTGTCATCCTTCTTGTCCTCTTTAATGGCAGAATTCACTGTAGGCGTGGGCAATGCGCAATCCTCCGGTTTCTGATTGTCGTTTTCACTCTGAGCAAGCATGATTGGCTTGAGAAGGTGCGCCAACATTTCCAGATCCTTGGGGGTCAGAGATTCCATCAACCCGGAGTCACCACTGCCAATGTTGAAGGAGAAAGGTGAATTTTGTGGTCGTTCGAGATCCATCATTAAGGAATCGACGTCCACTTCATCCGTCACCGATAGGAGAGGATGGCTTTGGCTCTTGTTGGTGGGAGGTTCGGTCATTCCCTCCTCCTTGACCTCATTTTCGTGTTTGTTTGGAATGGTCATTCTTGGTAGGGTGTACAGTCATTCGATCGATCGTATGACTGATGATGGACCCAACAGCTGTTGTTTGTGGCTTGCTAGCAGTTGCTTCCAAAGCGGTTCCGTACAGCCCTCTTTTGCCGTCCACCGTATCTCTTTGCTGAGTACTGGTACAGATGTTCAGTGCTGGAGGGAATCTTGGAATAGCTCGATCCTTCTGGTCGGCACACTACCAGTAGCTGGCTTGGTAGGAGAGTGTATATTACTCAATGACCGAGAGACAATTACTGCTCTCGAGTCCCAAGAAAGGCGAGTATCTTCACACAGTGTTTCTTGACAGAAGCGTTCGATTGACTGCAACCATCCAGTAGCAAAATGTGTATATATGTATACTAACAATTATTTAAGTCCGAAGATCGAGTCCAACGAGGTATTATGATAGCTTATTATTAGTGTTTGGCAGCTTCTTCTTAGTTTGGCAAAGGTTGTCATGTGATGGGGGGAAATTTGCGGGACGACAATAAGACAACATGAGACCTTGAGACGACACCACCGATCGTGCAGAAAAATTAAGGGGAAAAGAGAAGTAGATCTAAGGGCTGCCGACCGATCGAGTCCTCAGTCGAGCCAGTCGAATAAGCCTTAACCCTCTTCACACTCGTGTCATCCAACAACTTTTCGTCTTTCGTGCTCACCCCTCAGGAATAAGACTCGGTGCATGATCTGCAACGGCACCTGGGACAAAACGAAAGGCATCCTGCAAGCCACCCCTTATCGATAATGGCTAGTTGCTGCCATCACCCTCTCCCGAGGTTGGTGAGTGGACTTGTAGGTGCGGAAAACCTGGGATTGATCATTCGACCGCTTCATACGACGGTAACGTCGTGTGAAGTGGGGTTGTACGCGATAGCTTGTCCCTCTCGCCCTCAAGCCAGAAGTGCTGTCGCCGAAAGATTTTATTTGTCACGATCAGGTTACCGATACTGTACGGTGCCATTGGCATCAGAGTAACACAGGATACCAAAAGCGTTTGAAAGCGCATAACACTAAGATATAACTAGCATTTAGCTAGCTTTGGGTGAACACGGAGCGCACCCACTTCTTCGGCTCGACTTGCCCGCTACGTACTCCAACCCGACTTCCCAAGCATACTTCCGCCCTCGAACCCCCCTTGCCCCCCCTTTGCCCTGCTCCCCTGCTCTCCCAGTTATTCCCCACTATATACTGATTCCCTTCCCTGCCACGATTACCCCCCTGGCTCCTTAACCATTGTCATCACAGGAATCAATCCAATCGATCCGTCGAACGGAAGAAGCGTGTATATTAGTTAATCGTGCACGGAACGTCGATGGCTATATCTTTCTGTCTTTTGTCACGGCGACACACATAGCATCGCAATGATAAGCTCTTCTTGTTGCTCCTCCGTTTCTAACACAACGATGAATCCGTGGTCAACGAACGTTGCATGTCCATGCAATCTCTCTTTTTGGTGGATTCTTGGCTCGAATCATTCGCACTGCGCCCGATTGAGGAATATACAATCCGGTGGCTATTCTTAGACATCTACTACCGGTAGCATCCGGGAGAACTAGTACGGCGTCTTTGGCTCGTGTTTACGTACCGGTAGTAGATATAGGGTGAACAAGGAGCCACCCACTATTTTTGTCTCGACTCGGATGACGCTGTGTGATGCCAATCGAGGAATTCTCTTTTGAGTTCGTAGATACAGTACACGTGGATCGAGGTGGATTGACATTTTGCATTTTGCCAAATGTTGGTTGGGCGATCACCACAAGGTTCGCCTTAACAGATCGTATAAAGTCTCCTCCTCGAAGAGCAACGAATGCTTCAATCGATGGTCTACGCTGGTATGCTGACTTTGATGGGGCTCTGCGCCTCCGATTAATCAATCAGTCCGATGCAGAACTCTGGCGCAGCCGTTGCTTATACCAGGGCTGCTGTATGCGTCGCGTCATCGCGACCTTGTCATGCATGCAGTCAAACGATCGAGTCGAGTCAAGTCGTCAAAACTGGAAAACAGGTGAACTGCACGCCAAATGACTATAGCAACCCTTTCCATTGGCCAAAGTCGCAACTCACCGACAGTCATAGCAGACACCGTTTATCCATGCCTCCAAGAAGGTACACTTGTTCTACGCACGACGGAAGGAATCCACGGAACGTCGATGGATATCTTTCTGTCTCTTGTCGGGTTGACTTACTAAAATATATGGAACGAGTACAACAACAGTGCTACTCGTTATCTATCTGCTGGCCTTCCACAAGATTGACGTTGACTCTTTGGATTACTTGTCAGTGGCAATGAGACACTCTTCTCCTTGCTCCTCCTCTTCTAACACAACGATGAATCCGTAGGGAATTTGTGGATTGGCTCGAATCGTCATTCCTCGAACGTTGCGCTGACTTTGTGACCACCCAACTTCCCCAAGCCATTGTTTTGCTACACACATCCTTAGATAGCAAAATCATGTCACACCCTTTCAGCTGAGGCCAGTCTGGTGCGGGTGAGCAGACTTGACCTGGGCCTTGACAAGGTGTACACTAATCCATGTTTGCGGCTGCTTTTTTCTCGAAATAGAGCCGTGACGAAATCTCCAGTTCTTTGACAGTATTGAGATTCTTCGTTTCCAGTGGAGAGAGCCAAGAGCTACGGTACGGGCTACTTCATTGTTGCAAGCACTATCAGCGTACGGGTTCGATTCACAGCTCACTTGCGCTCACGTAGACATGGTAGCTCTCGCCCAGCAATCAAAATTGGGAATGCATAGAGGCCTTGATGACAATGCTACTACCAGGAATCAGAACAATTAATTGGCAAACACTTGGAGCTTGCGATTGAACCAGTCTTCTTGATCGCACTTGCCCTCCTTGCCCACATGAAATGTCTGCCCCTGGCAAACTGCAATTGAGTTTGCATGGACTCTCTCCTTCCCAAACACCAGCTCAAGGTCTGCAGTGTACTTTCTTGGGGAACGAACAAACACCCCATAGCATTCTGTGGGGTCCAGGCATGCATCATAAGAAACTGGTATCATGTTTCCACAGTTCCAGTCGTCATGTTCATTGCAGGCCTCATACACGGTATCATCATATGCCCCATCAAACGTATCATCTACGTGGAGTACAACACCATTTTCTCCTTGATCAATCAACTTCAACAGCACCAACTCCATGGGTCCGCATGTCAACATCAACATGCTAAACAGCTCTGTACCGGGGGGGCAAGAGGCACAGCTTCCAAACTCCTCTCTTCCAAAAACCCCACTAAAGGCTCCCTGAGCTACATTCACCCCATCCATAAAGATTGCATACTGACCAGGGGCGAGCAAGCCACGGTTGACGTTGCCGTAAATTGTGAAGACATAGCAAGAATCAGCTGGGACACAGGTCTCCTCCAAGATTGTTGCGAATGTGTATTCTCGTGGGTAAGAGTCTTGCTCAAACAGGATCTCTCCTGTGCGGTTGTTAATGAGGTTCCACCCCAAACTTCCAGGTAGAGAATCGAGAGTCAGTGAAAGGCGTAGGAGTGACATGCCAGTGGGGCACTCCTTTTTTCCTGGCAGTGAGTAGACCGTTGTGACTCCACCAATACCACCTGTTGGAGCTCCAATTGCCAGCTCCTTGCCATTGGAAGACAAGGCAACGGAGTAGTGGGTCAACGGAAAAGGATCACTCACATCATCCCAGGATTCAGTTGTGGATTCCCAGACAAAAACTCCAACCTTGGTACCAACCCTGAAGGCAACCATGGATCCATCACCAGATACTGCCAAGGCATTGTTGTTCTGGGGGACGAAACTCTGAATACAGCCAGTGATGTTTTTTGCGGGGGAAGCCCGAGGCACCCACTCTCCTCCATCATCGACCTCTTTGATGTGTAGTTGATTCCCTTCACATTCGGGGAAGCCATAGGCAAGGACAGTGCCATCTTGGTTCAATGCCAATGACAAGGGGTGATCCATGGTTTTCTCACCGGACTCAAACCAAAACTCAATCTCCTGAACATATTCACCAGTGAACTCATCCCAGGTCATGACCACAATGTAGTCATCTGATACCATGTCAGAGTTGTTCCCTGAGTCAAACACTGACACGTGTGTCTGCACAGCCAGTTTGCTGCCATCTTCACTCAATGACAAGGAATAGACATCAGCCAGGATACCATTTCTTGTGATAGTTACATTTGCGCGGAACTCAAATATTTCCTCTTGGGCCTTATAGACTTGAATCACTTTGGGAGCCTGGTCACTTGATATAAAGTGGGATTTTGCGAGAACAGCCCCATCATCTGACAGGTCGAACTCAGAGACCAATGGAATCTCCTGGGTTTGAGTGCAACCATCGTTGCACTTGTAGATATAAACTGACTTAGTGATGACATCCTGAACAGCAACAGTAAGGGAGGCTCTGAAGCTTGGATTGCTGACAACGTTAAACGGCCCAGAGGAGAGGGCTACATTCCACCCAAAACCTGTATCAACAGTTCCAATAATGGTGTCTCTGAGCACCCAGGAGGATCCAACTTTGTCATATAGCCGCACAGTGTCGTGGTATACTGCAGAAACAGCCATTGCCCCCATTGAAAGATCCAAGGAAGAACCATAAAAAGAGCCGGCGTCTCCATTGAAGTCATTGATCTGCTGCCACTCATCTTTTGGTTGCTTGCAGTAGAAGTACCCAGTGCTGACATATCCATCTTTTTCGGCTCCACAAACATATTGGGATGTGCTCACGCAAGTAGATTCACAGCAATCACCACCATCCAAATTGAACCCAGGTGTGTTGAAAAAGGGGTCACAGTGACCATTGTTGACTGCATGAAAGAAGTCAAAAGATTTTTGATGAGGATGAAATGACCAAAACATTTCTTGGATGATCCAAGTGCACTTGCATACCTGGAGGTTCTTCACACAGACTCCCAAAGGAGTCAAGATTGCATTCACATGTCCCATTGTTGCACTTTCCATCGTACAGGCATGGGTTTGAATCACTATCACAAACATGGCAGAGAAACTCTGTATCAACCAACTTGCCAGTTCCCTGGTTCTCGTCTTCAGCTGTAGCCTCATTGGTTATTGCATACCAAGATAAGCCAACAGGAGAACTAGAGTCTAGCTGAGTTCCCACTTGCATGTAATCACTGAGAAAAGCAACCATGTAGTTGCCATTGTAGCCATTGTATGCGTGGAAAAAATACTTGAAGAAGTTTCCAATATCAGAACCCACATCTTCCTGGACATCAGATAGAGCATTGGAAGGGATCCTTCCGGCATGAGGCAAGAGAACAGAAGAAGTCAAAGCCCAACGCCCACCAGTGAACATGACAACATCATATTCGCCATCACTGTATTCATGGATGTAGACTGGTCGGTGGTAAGCTTCCACCAGTGAACCATTGCCCAAGTCAATGGACTGGTAATTGCTTGCCCAATCCCTGGTACTCGCAAACTTATCAGTCCGAGCATCAATGGTGATCCAGGGGCAAGGGCTGACAAATTCACATCTGGGCCCATACCAGCCATCTTCACAATCACAGACAGCATTGCTGCAGGTTCCTTTCCCACCACAGTCATCACTTCCTTCCGCATCCTCATTGGAGCAGTCAAAGCAAAAGAGGCTGAATGGTTCCAGTACCACTTCGTGGTTTGTTGCATCACGGACAAACCACTGGATTCGCCCAGTCTCTGTGATATCATAGGTGTCGGTTTCAGATGATCTGGCAATCCAGTCACAAGGATCTGAATCCTTCTTGTTGTCATTTTGTTGCACCCGAAATGTCCAAGCATTGATGTCATTACAGTACCCCAAAACACCTTTTCCAGAAGAACCAATCTCCATAGAACGTCTCTCCACATATTCCGCTCGCCACTCCAGCCCAAAGCCTGCAGAGAAATCCAGGTCATAGAGGCCATTGAAAGTTCCTAGGGAGGGGACAAAGTTATCTCCCATATTCACAATGATGCTGTTGCACATGTATTTGCCTGATGTCCGAAAGACCACAATGGCAACATATCCAGCGATCATAACAACAAGGATTAACAGGAAAACACCAGCCTTCCACGAACGTTGTAGAAATCCTTGCTCTACTGACTGCTTTCGAACTTGGAAGTCTGTTACATCATTGGCAGCACTCTGAAGAAGGTTTCCCATAAAGCCTGCCTTGGCGAGGTCGAATGCCACATTGTCAATATCCGCCATGAAATGGAGAGCGGCAAAATTGAGCATGATGGCCAATACGCTGTCAACTTGCATGGTCAAAATGTATATGGTCAAAAGTAGGAGGAGACCAGCAACAAGCTGAGCAATGCAAGAAACCAGCCAAGTAGCATAGGTTGCTCCAGGATGCTTTTCGAGCACCTCTGGATGGAAGCCATCTTTAAATCTGTAGGATAAAAATAAATACAAATTTGGATGCATCAGGGATATCTTGGAAGCATTAAATAAATACCAATCGCAGAGAAATCAATATAGAACTCACTTTCCCACAACTTCGAGGAGGTCTGATTGGAAAGCAATGGCCAGGAAAAGCGCGACACCTTGAGCAATGGTGACGATAAAGTCAACATTGGGTGGCATATCCAGTCCATTTCCACCCCAGTCAACAATGTCAATCAGTGTCAGCAGAATGGTTGTGATCTGTTTGTTGATCCCATGCACAAAGAGTGGATGAGTTGGAAAGAATAATATCGTAAAGCTCTTGTCGTCCCTTTTTGACACTTACCTGGATGACATAGACCAAAACGGCATACCAGAATGCCACACTATCCACACTGCACAAATAGAGGAGAGAGTATGTGCTTTCCCCAAAGGGATTGTGCCATTTTGCCTCGTCTTTATTCTTGTCTCTGGTCTCATCTTCCTTCGACAACATCTCACGTGACGTCCGCAATGGATGCAGTGGACATTCTTCCAAATCGCCACCCTGTACTTTGTGCTTCATTTCATTTTCCTGACTTATCAAGAGAGGCTTGAGGAGGCTTGCCAATGCTGCCAAATCTTTTGGAGATAGAGATTCCATGATTGTAGAAACCCCAGTGCCGAAAGTCGAGGTCGATTCTCGGGTCGTAGCATTAGTGGTTGTTTTGCAGGGAGATTCATGGTCCAAAAAGAACACAGAATCCACATCCTCTTCATCTTCCACATGTAAAAGAAGATTTCCATAGTTCATTGTGGTTTGTGATGTCATTTCCTGCTCCTTGACCTCCTTTTCGTGTTTGTTCGGAGTGGTCATTATTGATAGGGCATATAGTCATTCGTGATTATGATGGACCCAACAGCTCTTGGTGGTGGCTGGCTAGCAGTTCCTGCCAAATCGGTTCAGTACCGTCGCTCTTGTTAACCGTATATCTCTGCAGAGTACAGATGTTCAGTGCTGGAGATAAGCTTGTATGGCTCGACCCTTGTGGTTGCCTACAAGAATAAACGTGTTATAATGACCCAGACAGAAAATTCTTGGGATTCGATTCGCAATTCAAAGGAGGAGTAATCTTATACCCGGCGGTTCTTGAATTAGGAACGGCTTCTTGTGATATCCAGAAGCGTACCTTCGATTGACTACAAATTGGTAGATCTATCTTGAGTGAGTCTGTCCAACGAGTCCAACGATCGAGATCGATTGTTGACACGCTGCTTTTAATTGTGGCACTCCGCTCCGCAGCACATCCAAACCCTTTGCCCCCCGTAATGGTCCTCAATTTCTTGCCCCTGATCCCACAGAACCTAGTCCTGAATTTCGACTGTTCTTTGCTTAAGCCTGGCCCCGGCTGGCTTCCGTAGATAATTTCCCTACTCTAAACCCCCCTTATACTATTTTAAAATAGTACGATACGCGATTTTGTTGCGTCACCACTGCATGCAATAATAATAAAAATCAAAAACTGCAGGTATACCACAGGTGTCGTATGAGTACCGGTGGGCATGAACCGTGACACGATGGAACTATCTAAGGGGCGGGACTTGGCCTAATAGTAGCATGGCCACTCTCGAAATCGCTTGGTCCTTTCTTTGCATGCATGATTTTCTGCCAAAACGGTTCCCGATCGTTCCAAGTAAACACAAAGCAGCCAGGTTCGACCGACCACGGCGCAGTTTGGTTTGATCAAGGAGACCGTATTGAATCAATCGATCGACCCAACTATAGTATGCTAGCTCGCTACTAAATGCAAAATTATGAGGTAAGTACTCAGGCAAACACAGGTATCAGGAGGTGCCCCTTTGGATCCATTGCTACTAGTACTATACATGTACGAGGCAAGCTGGTGGAGTTGCAGAATCGGCCGATCGGTCGCACCCTTGGATCTTCAGCCAAACGAGTGGAATCGTGGCACCTCTGCTATCGAGACTTGTTCAATCGGAGCGTCTCATACTCGGTCCATGAGAGCAGACAAAACCTGTTCCCTGCACTGCCGGTGAACTACAATTCATACATTGTCGAGCCCTTTTGGAAACGTCGTCAATACAATAAAGCTTGACTGCCTGTAGCTGGAAGGGCACAGATAGGACTTCCTGGGACCTTAACAGGGGTCTGGAAATTCAATTGATGTGTCTGCCCGCAGAGATTCACTTCTACGGGTTAGCAAATACTGCGAGAAGAGCCTCGAGTTATGCAGACGCAAGCTCCTACCAATGCTCCACCTTCTCCAGTCAATCCTAGTGCGGCTGGAAATGTGGTGGTCATTCTTCCATCTGGAGCTGCCAGTTGATCCCGTCGAGCTGATCCTGTTGCCAAGGCCGATGTCATGTACCGGTTCACCATGGACAACCTCGGCATTGCTCTTGAAGTCGACGGTGTTGATAAAGATGGTAAAGGTTTGAACTAATTAAATTAATGTGCACTGGCTGTAGTGGACCCAATCTGGGGATAGGTTATTACCCCCAGATCAACACACCCTTGCACTACTGCTACTACAGTGTGCGTTAATTGCAGCTTGCAGGTTTTCCTGCTTTTCGTCGTCGATCGTTCGTTTCGAGAGGATCGTTTGAACATGGTGTTGTTGCTTTATATCGTTTTGGTTGTTGTATCAGCGCTTTATCCAGCTATCAACTGTTACTCTTGTACCCCCTGCAGGCATCCGCTTGTAGATCTGGGCTTCGCTCGAGAAGCACCCTTGGTTGTCAGGCATTCATAAGAACTCTGGACTGATCTGATTGTGTTGTGGGGCGACGTTGGAGGTGTGCTCGTTTGTAGGGTCTTCTTCTGCTGCATCCACCCTTGGAAGTTGCCGATGGTGGCTTTCACCCTTGGAGATTTTCGCAGGAGAAGGACCGGAGTGAGGAATCACCCCCAACTCCTTCGTGAGTTGGTGGCGGTCCCAGCTTGGACCCAATCGGCTCAATTGCCTCAGCATGGCGAGTGCCTTGTTGCCTTATCAATCCCTACCGACCGGAGCTAAGACCTTACGATGGCATGGCTAACATCGCTGTTGGAGGAAATATACCTGACACCTCTTTACTATTGACTCGTGTATTAATCATCTAGTCCGGTTCGCATGCAAATTCATCATGCAAGGAACCAAGGGAGTTTTAGGTCTAAAGTGTAGCGGGGGTCCTTATATCCAATTCAATCACAAGATTTGCTATGCACCACCAGAAAATCCTCACTTTTGCTTTTCAGCTTAATCTAAAACCAAATTACTCCCCAATAAGCTGCAGTATTACTAGCTAACACTGAAAAGCAAAAGGCCATCTCGAGTTACTACTACCGACCTCGAGATTGATACCAAGGTAAATCAAGTGAAAGCGTATTGCACTACGCTAAAAGCTAGTGTAAAGATCTTTCGAGTGTTTTGTGTTTGAGAGAATGAAAGTTATGAGAGAGATTAGAAAGCTATGAAAACTAATCAACGAGAGAGATCACCATCAAAGGATCGTAGATCTGGTCTCCCGCGGGAGACTATAAAGTGTGATAGAGTAGGTTGCGGTAGTAATCCTACGTATCTCCACGATCCTAAAACGGAACGCGTGGAAGATTCGTCTAGCATGGATCTAGTACGCGTGGAAGATTCGTCTAGCATTGATCTAGTAGCGTGGAAGTACTCCACGCTGGCTAAATATCTAGAGCGATGTTTCATCATCAACCTAGTATGACTAGAGCGGTCATTGAGAACCCTGTCTCAATAACTATTCACGAGAGACTCAGTTATGAGTCGAACTCAAACCCTATCTAGGATCGAGTCGCGAATAAGGCTAAGAGCCGTGTATTGCATTCGCCCCCTGACAAGGGTCACAGAAGGCACGACATCAGTCGGACAAGGAGAACATATGAATTAAAGTGCGGGGCACTCTCATGAGATTGGATGTAGACATGTGCGTCGCATGATGGCAATCCTACAAGGGGATCAGGCCTTGTATGGGTGTATATACCTTATGTTCCAAGTCTGGTAGACTGTGCCGCCATTGGCGGTAGCATGTTGGAGCCGTACAGTGCCATTGTCATTGACTCGGTCTATAGTGTAAGGACCTTTGTACTTTGGCTGACCGTACTTGCGGTGCTGATACTGTTGAATCATCACGGTATCGTTGACATTGTATTGATGAGGGACACGCGTCGCGTTCTCCCTATCGTTGTTCTGTTGGATGAGTCGTTGGCGATGTTCTTTGATGTGTTTCCAGTTTACTTCGAAACGGACGTTGTGCATCGCGTCACGATTGAACACGTGTGGTAATGAACTTGCGACGAAGTCCATATTCATCCCGGAGAGTCTTCTCGACTTCTGCGCGGAACTCACGTTCTCTATCCATGATAACCTCAGCAGGCCATGGATACTGGGTGAGCCACGTCTGTTCTAGAACGATGGCTACTTCGTCTGCTGCATTGGAGCAGATCTCGGCAATCTCGAACCATTCGGTTACGGGATCAATCATTGTCAAGCAATGAAATGGACAGGGATTCCTTTTCTTGGGATCCCCGACGTTGTATGTACATGTGATCGTCTGATCCATATGTCTCGATAGTAGTTCACTAGTCCAATGAATCTACCAAGTTTCTTCCTGTTCGTAGGAGGAGCGATATTCTGGATCGCATCTATTTTCTTGGTTACGGGTTGGATTCCTTCTCAAGTAATCCAGTAGCCTAGATACTCAAGTTCTCTTCTTTCGAAGAAGGACTTGGTAGCATTGATCTTAAGTCCGGCTTCTCGAAGCCTTTAGGAGAACTTCATCTAACTATTCAACGTGATCCACTAGATCGCCGTTAGGTAGGATGAGTTGATCATCAATGTATGCACGGACATTTTCCAAGTCGTGCATGAGTGTTCCCATCTTCCTTTGGAAGATGTCGGGACTATTGCATAGGCCCATCGGTACTCGCTGGTACTCGTATTTCCTGAATCCGTCTAGATTCAGTAGCATGTCTTGTATCCTTGGGATCGGACAAGGTTTTTGCTCAATCCTTTTGTTCAGTTCCCGGACGTCAGAGATGAACCGTATAGATCCATTCTTTTTGGGAATAATAAATGTTGGTGCCGTCCACTCGGAACGGTTTACCTTCTTAAGTGCTCCTGCGTCGCAGAGACGTTCGACCTCTGTCTTAAGAGTGTTGGTATGGACACGTGGAGTAGGATAAGCCCTAGCGTGATAGGGTTTAGCGTCAGGACGAAGTTCTACTTCGTAGTCGTCCATTTGTCGCTTTCCTAAAGTACCTTCGAATTGGTCGGAGCACTTGGTCAATAAGTCACGAAGCGGTTCCTGCTCTTCCTTATTTACCTGGTTTTGACTCTGGCATATCTGCCTTAAGTCAGGTCGTTCGTATTTCGCGTCAAGAGTCCTCTTGAGACGATCTGCACTGTCGCTGACAGCTGTAGGATCAGGGATGAAGAAGTTCCTTTCTTCGTTGGTATTGCCATCTTTCATAGGGAAAGATGTGCTATTCCACTTCACCGACATGGTAGTGAAATCGAACTTGATTCTTAGATCGGAGAGAATGTCTCGACCTATGATCATGTCATACGCCCCCAAGTTCTTGGTGGCGTGCAAGTTCCATTCGATAATTCTATCATCGTGCGTGGAACTCAGGAGTCATAAGTGCACCCTTACACTTCGTGCTGGGGTTTATTCCTTTACAGGGGTAGTCCATAGTGTTTGGACGCCCCCATGATCTTCATGTAATCTCTTAGCATGATTTGGGTAATAAAGGTTCCGGATGCTCCTGTATCCAGTAAGCAATGGAGTGTAACGGGTTTTTGTTTCCTTTTTTCTCGTCTGTTAAATCTAACATAGACGATAGTTTTGAGG